GGGACTGCAAAAACTTGGTTCTTCCTATGGTTCTTGGATTCTCAGTATGGGTGCAATTTCTTGGCCTTTATTGCGGTCTTGTTGGTTTTCTATGTGTAGGACATCTTTAAGAATCTTTTGTAGGGCTGGTTTGGTGGAGATGTATTGTTTCAATTTTTCTTTGCTATGGAAGGTTTTTACTTGGCCTTCAGTTATGAAGGAGAGTTTAGCTGGGTACAGTATTTTTGGTTGATAGTTGTTTGTTTTTAGGGCATGGCATACATCATTCCAGGCTCTTCTTGCTTTGATTGTCTCTGCTGAGAAATCTGAGGTGATTCTAATTGGTTTCCCTTTATAGGTGATTAATCTTTTCTCCTTGACAGCTTTAAGGATCTTTCCCTTGGTCTGAGTTGATCCTGTGTGGATTATAATGTGACGGTGGGATGTCCTATTCTGGTCTGGTCTATTTGGGGTTCTAAAAGCTTCTTGTATCTGAATAGGCCTATCTTTTTGCATGTTTGGGAAGTTCTCTGCTAGGATCCTCTTAAACAAATTTCCTAGACCATTAACTTCCGTTTCTAGGTGCTCCTCTACACCCATTATCCTTAGATTAGGCCTTCTGATGGTGTCTTCCAAGTGTTGGATAGATCTGTCATATTTCTTGGACTTGGATGGTTGTATGTTCTTTCTCTATAATATCTAGGCTGTCTTCAATCTCTGAGATTCGATCTTCTGCATGGTCTAACCTGCTGTCAAGACTCTCTACTTTGTTTTTTATCTCTTTTCCTTCTATTTGGTCGGCTTTGATGTCTTCAAATTCTTTGTTGAAGCTTTGTTTTAGATCTTGTATGAACTTCTTTACTTCCTTAATTTGGTGTTCAGTGTTTATTCTCAAATCACTTAGTTGATTGGTTATGGTTTCCTTGGACTCCCATTCCTTCTGTTGGGTTCCATTCAGCATTCCTTTATGGTCTCCCTGACTTCCTTCAGCTCTTTGTTAATAGATTCCATGAATGCCTTTAGTGATCTTTCTGTATTCTCTTCCTGCTCTCTCAATTCCTGTATTACTCTTTGATTAGCTTTCTCCCGTTTGTGGGATTCCTGTAGTTCTCTTTGAGTGTTCTCAGCCTGCTCACGCCATTCCTGCCTTTCTCTTTGAGTATTCTCAAGCTGCTCACGCAAATCCTATATCCGTTTTTGAGTAGCTTCCTCACGCTTATGATATTCCTGTATAAACTTTTGGATTGCCTCTTCTCTCTCCCATCACGCTCATACAGAGTCCTTTGTATGCTTTCAACCTTTTCATTTATCATATTTGCCAGCAGTATTTGTAGAGCTATTTGGGAACTCTCCTCTGGATTATTCATTATCTGTTCTGTCCCCTGATTATCAAGATTGGGAATTGAGATACCCGGATTTGCAATTTTTCTTGTGTTTTTCTGACTTACTCTGCCCATTTGAGATGAAAATAGCACCAGTTTTGTGCTAGAACACTATCTTAAGGCAAGCATCAACCAAAGTCTGAATTTGCATAGTCAATAGTCTATAGATACAATCTAGTTCAACAGATACATCTATTCAACATCAAACAACTATATGTTAATGGGCTATGAACCGCAAAGAAGAATTTGGAAGACCAGAAATTATTAGGGTTAGGGAGAGATGTGGGTAAAAAATAGGAATAGATTGATGTGGGGAGGCACAGGGAGAGTTAATTAAATCCTAATCTCAAAGCAGGAAATAGGTTGGGTAGGATGAAAGTAGAGAGAGAAAAAAAGAAGAAAGGGAAAGGGAATAGAAAAAAGACCAGAAAAATAGAAAAGTAAAAATTAATAATATTATGTAGATCAACAACAATCTATTTAGAGAAGAACGTGAATATATTGAGAGAAGGGGAGGGGATATAAAGGAGATGTCAAAAACTTAAAAATAAAAATGCTTAAAGTATTATATATGTATAAAGAGGTAGTACTGCTATTAAGGAATTTAAGTCTCAGGTTTTGAATTGAGTAATAAATTTGTGGTGTACACAATGGGGGATAGGGTCTAATAGTCAACTACGGGTTTATCTGAGGATGTGCAGGACAAGAATTAAGTCACATAAAGAAGAACGAAAGAGAGGAGAAGGTGAAAAGGATAAGAAAGGAAGAAAAAAATCAGAAGTTCAGTAGAGTTAAACAAAAAACAAAAAGATAATTAGGAAAAAAAGAGAAAGAAAACAAAAAAAGAAAGAAAAACGCACACTCATGTATCCCTAAAATAAAAATTATAAGAGGAAAAAAAGGTTACTGGAAAACAATTTTTTTTCAAAAAAGGCAAAAATTAAAGATTAAAAAAGTTAGAAAAGAAAAAAATTTTTTTTTATATACGATACCAAAAAAAAAAAAAGAAGAAGAAGAAGAAAAAAAGAAGTTATTTGATTTTTTTGGGAGGGGTGGGAAAAATCCTGTATCTCCCTTGTGTCTGTAACCAGCCTCTTGTTGGAGTCTCTGGTCTGCTCGTGGTCCTGTGGCTTGGTTGGTTTCTTAAGTCAGTTTGTTCGAACAGGCAGAAAAATGCTCTGCTTTACCCAGAATTTGGCGATCCTCCTCCCAGAATAGTTCAATGGGAGGTAGATCTGCTTTGAGTATCACAAAAGAGGGGGATGCAGTGATGAGGCTAGGTTCTGGTTAGAGTTGAGGCCTTTCAACAGACGGTAGCTTTTCCTGGGGGCTAGTTTGTGAAAAACTCACAGAGTCCAGCCTGGAGCCATTCTCAGGGTTTCTGTTTAGTGAATTTCAATTGATTGTGGAGGCTGCTAGAGGGAGGGGCAGCCTCTGGCTCTGATTACCCAGTAAAGAAAGCCACTCCTAGGGCTGGTGCCCGAGCTGAGTGACTTTTCCCTGGGTGGAGCTGAGTCTGGCAGGTCAAGTTCTTGTGACCTGCTAAATGACTCGTTTTATTCCAAGGCCTGAGCTGGAGCTAGCAGCTCTCTCCGAGCTTTGTCGGTATCCAAGATGGAGATCACCGGTGCTGGGGGGGAGGGGTGGCCTTCCCTCCTCTGCTCCCTGAGAAGGAGTGAGGACGTCAGTCTTCTACTCACGCCGAGTCTTGGTTCCTGGGTCATCTCTGGTCTGCAAACTGCAGGATGAAGATGTCTGCTCCTTGTCGGTCCTTGCTGGTGTTGAGTAGAATCCGCTCGCCCGCTGAATCTGGCTCCTTCGTCCCAGACTCTCTGTGCCTCAGGTATGGCTCCTGAGATCGCCGCCGCCACCACCGCTGCCGCTGCCGCAGCGGCTGCTGGCAAGAGCCTGTTTAAACAGTCTTTTGGGGCCTCTTCTATGATGATCATCCATCATATCAGGTCCCTTCCCTTTTCAGCTCATTTAAGTTCACTGTCTTTCAGGCACTATCTAAATACAGCCTCACTGGGGGCCTGGGCTTCAACATAGCAATTTGGTGGGAGATACAAACATTAACATCACAAGGTATGTAGATATCTCTTTGAAATTCTACTTTCAGTTCTTTTCACTAAAAAGCCAAAGTAGAATTGATGTATCATACATTAATTCTATTTTAAACTTTTTGAGGAGTCATTAATATTGTTTTACACAGTGCTACACCATTTTATATTACCATTAGCCAAGCACAAGACTCCTAGATTTCTCAACATTCACACCAACATTTGCTATTTTGCATTACTTTGATTGCCATTCTAATGTGTTTGAAATGGTCTCTAGTTATAGTTTAGATTTGCATTTCCCCAATGGTAAGCACCAATTGTGTATGAATTATGTATGAATTTGCTTATCTTGAGAAATATCTGTTCATATTTTTTATCTATTTTTTGGTGTCATATTCTAGATATTAACCCTTTATCAGACATCCTATTTACAAGAACTTTCTCTGTTTTTGTGGTTTGCCTTTCCATTACATTCAGTGTCCTTAGATGCAAAAAAAGTTAGTTGAGATTGAATCAATTGTACTTATTGTTGCTGTTGTGTTTTTTATGTCACATTAAAGAAATTATTTCAAATTCCAGTCTTATAAAGAGTTTTTTTTTTCAGTCTTTTCTTCTCAATATTAATTTGTAGACTTATTTCTTAGGTTTAGGTCTTTGATTCATTGTAAATTGATTATTATAAATAATGTAAGAATCATAACTGCATTCAGTTGCATGTAAATATTTAGTTTTTGCAACACTATATTGAAAAACATACTTTCCTTGGTACCCTGACTAAAATCATTTGACTCAATAATTCTGGTACATTTTTCTGTCTTCCTGTCTTTATACTAACACTATACTGTTTGGGTCATTGTAACTTTGTATTATGTTTTATAATTAGAAAGTATGAATTTTTTTTCCTTCTGTTATCAGAGGTGATACAGCTTGAAGCTCATTAATTTTATTGAGTGTATGCAGCCCTATCTTTATTCTTTTTGTCTTGTTAAGAATTCAAGCAAGACACAAAACAATTAAAATGATAGACAAATTTATTAAAGAGAAAATGAGATATACTGTAAGAAAGTGCCAGGCTTGAGCAAGGCTCTCCTGAGTATCGACGGCTTTGTTGCTGGGATGTAAAAGTCATGGATAGGTATGAGCCAGCCTTCATTTGTCAGAAACTGATGGACAGGTTGATTGACAAGTGTAACAAATGTGTCTCTGCCCATGTCCAGAACATTGTGTAGAAGCCCTTTAGATACTGAATATTCTCATGCCAAACACCATAGGGCCAAAGATTTCTCTATGGTCGTTGTTCTAGCCTTCTGTGTGTATTTACCGGGAAAGAGAGCTTTCCCTGCCAGATGCTTTGTTTCTGGTTCTGGACTTAGTCGCAGCTGGTCTGATCCAAGGAACTTTATCTGCATCTTCTTCAGCAATTTAAGGCACTCTAGGTGGATCATCTTGGGATTTTTGTCTCTTATGTGGGGATGAGTCTTGTGGGCAATGTGCTGAGTAGTGGTCCTAGTTTTATTACCTAGACAAAGACCCTAAATTGTCTGCCTGCTTCGCTTCCTTTTCAACATATGTTAAAAATATGCTTTGGCAGCACATATGCTAACATTAGAATGATACAGAGAAGATTAGCATGACCCCTGTGCAAGAATGATAGAAAAATCATGTAGCATTTCATATATTTTCAAGTTGGCTAAAATTTACTAAATGAGAGACAGGTTTCACTCTTGTCCCCTGACTTGCACTGACTTACCAGTTCACTTGCTCTCACCTCAAGCAGCCACCTCAAGTCTTAACTAATTTCACTCATGGTGTGTGAAGCGACCATTTTAAGTAAATGAGGAAGGGCTGGGGTGTTGCTCAGAGACAGAGCACTTGTCTTGTGTGCACAAGGCCCTGGGTTTGATCCCCAGGACTGTGATAAAAACACAAAAACAAATGAGTACATGTTCTATCCTACGCTGTATCATTCAAAGATGGTCCCCTCAGTTCTCAAATCCTGTAACTGGGATCACTCGATAGCACTGTGATCTTTTTTTTTTTTTTTTTCAACAAGGTACCTTTCTTAACACTGACCAGATTCTGCCTTGTTTGGCCCCTAAGTCATTAAAAAATGTTAAAAATTGGTTAAGTAAATAAATAACATTAAGGAGCCAGGTACTCTTGCCCCACACCTGTTGTCCTAGCTACTCAGGAGGCATATCTGATAATGCTGTTTGAAGCCAGCCAGAGCAGTGAAACTCTTATATACAATTAACTACCAGAAAAGCTAGAAGTAGAGTTGTGTGGCTCAAGTGGTAGGGGTGCTAACTTTTAGTATAAAAGCTCAAGGATAGCACTCAGATCTTGAGTTCCAGCCCTAGGACTGGTACCAAACAACAAGAACAACAACAAAAAAAAAAAAAAGAAGGAAGGAAGGAAAGAAAGAAAGAGAAAGAAAGAAAGAAAGGAAAGAGAGGAAGGAAGGAAGGAAGGAAGGAAAAAAGGAAGGAAGGGAAAGGAAAGGAAGAAAATTCAGGTTCTAGACACACTTTAGGATTCATTTTTCTATTTATAAAAAAAAGTTACTGAAATGTTGATTTGATTTTCTTGAATAGATAGATAGCTTTGAATATGAAATCTAACCCATCCCCAAGGGATATATTTCCTTTTACTTGTATTTTCTCTCAGTGATTTTTTTTGGGGGGAGAGGGTAATAAATATTTGCCAACTTGGTTACGTTTATTAAAAAGTGCAGTATTTTTATGTGTTAAATGTGAATACTTTTATAATGTTTCTTTAGGACTGTTTATATATATACATATTTATATACAAATATACTGTTTATATGTATGCATATATATATATATATATATATATATATATATATGCAAACAGAACTTGGAAGTGAAAATTTATATCTGTTTACTAGCAATTTCTCATTTCCCACTTCCCAGCACCTAAAAAAATGACAATTTTTCCCAGGCACAGAGTTCAGGCCCTATAACCGACCAAAAAAAAAAAAAAGACAATTTTTCTTTCTATGAGTTTGACTATTTTAGATATCTCTTCTAAGTAGAATATTTATCTTTTTGTGATTTATTTCACTTAATGCATTCATTTATGCTGTAGCATATGACAAATTTTCCCTTTTTAGGACTGATAACTATTGCATTTTACAGGTGGTCAGTCCCTCATGTATAAGTGGATACCTCTTGGCTACTGTGATAATGGTATAGGGATCATGAGAATACAAGTATGTAGGTATCTTTCAGATACCTTGTATTCAGTTCTTTTGGATATAACATCAGGGGTGAACTTGCTGTATTATTTTACCTGTTTTACAAATGAGGAAAGTAGAACTTAAGACTTGAATGCCTTGTCTGGAATTCCTAAATTAATCCTTAACAAATAGTATTTGAACTTGGTTTTATTTATGCTTTTCTTTTATCATGAAGAGATAGCTAGGCCATGTAGTCAGGATATGCATTGCCCTTATATTAGGGATAGTCAGACTGAGCTGTGTTAATGTTCAAAATTTACACATTTAACAAGCAGTTGAAAGAGGACTAGCAATTGGAATATTATTAGAAATAAGATATAGTCCCTTTGCAAATTTGAGGCTGTCTCAACTCATGGTTGTTATGAGCTGATCCCAACATATTTGACTGTACCTGTGGTATTGACCTCTTACGACTTCTGCTATTGCAGCCATTAAACTTAGCACTATGTGATCATAGAGTTGTTTTAAAACTTAGCCTTGATCAGAATCAGACTAAAGAATGAAAAGTTAAAACTTTTTATATATGATTTTACCTGCATGAACAATGTTAACTAATCAGATCCATAGAAACAAAAAGAATGATGTTGTCTTCTTGGTCAGAAGTTGCTTAATGGGTTCAGCATTGCAGTTTTGCAGGATAAAATGGTTCTGGAGATTGATTGTATAGCTGAGTATTCTCCTGGAGGAAACACTTAAAAAGTGGTAAGGAGCTGAGTGCCAGTGGCTCATGCTTATAATCCTACCAACTCAGGAGGCTGAGATCTGAGGATTGTGGTTCAAAGCCAGGCTGGGCAGGAAAGTCCATGAGACTTTTATCTCCAGTTAACCACCAGAAAACCAGAAGTGATGCTGTTGCAGAGTGCTAGCCTTGAGCTGAAGAGCTCAGGGACAGCACCCAGGCCCAGAGTTCAAGTCCCATGACCAACCAAAAAAAAAAAGTGATATATTTTAAAAAGTGGTAAATTTTACCTCAGTAAATAATTAAAAACATTTAAAACAAGAATCTTCTGTGACAGCTTACCATCCTTGTAAAGTTAACAGGTAAAAGACAGAAATATTACTTTGTTGTTTTTTTATTTTTTACTAACTTTTTTTACTTATTTTTTTGTTCCCAGTGATCTGCAGCCCTGGATCTTTCAATCCCCGTGATGGAACTCACTGCCTTCAGTGCAACAGCAGCCTGGTGTATGGAGCAAAAGCCTGTGTATAGCTTTAATCTTTTGTTACTAAGTGGTTTATTAAACACGAAAGTATATTTTGATATTAAAACATAATGTCAGTATTATGCCAAAATTAAATAATCAGATTTTACCAAAAAATGGTGTCATCATTTTAATCAGACACTGTATGAACATCTTGTCATCTTTATCCTTTCTTCCCAGACCCACATTACTCAAAAATATCTCCTTATCATTGCATAATAATGATAGTTTCAAATATGTTGAATTAAATTAGCCCAAAAGCTTTATCAGGAGTTTTAAAAAATAGCCAGTTTAATTTCATATATTTAACAGATTTAGGGCACTCTATTCTTTTATAACAATTTCCATTTTACCTTTGAGTCAATTTTATAAAACTTAGCTTTATGTTATTCTATCTTGACCTTTCAAAACTAGTTTTAATGTTTTAAGTATAAATTAGTTTAAACTTTTTTTTGGTACTGTGGTTTGAACTCAAGGCTTCAAGTCCTCTTAGCTAGTGCTGCTCAGCCTTGTCACTTTAGCTACATACCAGTCCAGCATTTTACTGGTTAACTGGACATGAATCTTTGGACTTTTCTGCCAAGGATGGCTTTGAGTTGAAATCTTTGAGGTCTCAGCCACCTGAGTAGCTAGAGTTATAGGTGTGAGCCATTGGTACCTAGCTTTATGTGGTTATTTCATACTTTCAGCTAATGTCTTAAATTACATTTTAGCATTTGAGACTAATCATTCCGTTTTCATAAATCAACAAATGATTTATATTAAGTAGATGGGTAATTAACAAGATAAATAATTTCTCAGATTTTTCTTTTTAGTTTTGACTGATTTATATTGACCTTTACTTTCTGTAGCATTCCTTGTTTTGCTCTTACTATTTGCTTTCGTAGAAGAACATAAACCTTTGTAAAGGTAAATATAACACAAGTTAGATCTAGGCACAGCTGAACAACATCTTGAAATTAAATATGATTTACATTTGGAATTATGCTTTATATAAATAGACTAGTTAATAGCTAAGTCTCATGTTTGTTTATCATGTGGACAATCAATCCCAGAATTCTCATACAGACTACACAGTCAACATAAGTGACCCAGAGCTGTATTTTGTTGTAAGCCCTGATGGGTTTTCTTTTTTTTTTTTAATCTCCATGAGCTTTAATTGTGATGATGTAATTTTTTTCATATCTTTCATAAAAGTTTTACATGTGCCTGCTTTCTTCTGGTAAGTAACCTACTGTACATTGTTTGGATGAGCCATTGTTTCCATTGTGATTAGCATGTGTATTTTTTAGTGAGACCTGAACCTCCATCTTAAGATTTGGGTGCAGTTTTCCAAAGCTAACCAAATTTCTTAAGTATATAATATGATGAATATATTCTTTCTTTTTTTAAATTTTGGCTTATTTTTTGTCTTTTATTTTAAATATGTCTTTTTATTGTAAAAATACTGTACAGTTACATGAACAAAGTAATAACTTACTTAGGATATGTTTTTCTGAGGTATGAACAACTCCAGATCAACAGTTATTCAGCCAGAAAAAGCAGAAGCAGAAGTATTATAGCCATGCTAAGTCCAGGAAATCAGAATTTGTCCTAAAGTCACAGATGATCTGGGCTTAGAGCAGACAAATGATGGAAGGGTAATTAGAGCTAGTTCAGCATTCTTAGCTTGTAGATGTAGACTTTTAAATGAAACCACAAAACTACAAGACAGAATAAGAAAAAAACTAAGAGTCCAGCCAAGAAGAACAATTAGCAAAAATATACCAAAGGAGATAATAATTTTTTATTGTTTACCATAGTTAAATGTTCTTTGTTTTAGCCATACAGTAATGGCTCACATCTGTAATCCTAGGTACATAAAAGGCTGAGATATGACAAATCTTGGTTCAAAGTCAGCCCAGGCAGAAAAGTCCAGGAGACTCCCCACCTCCAATTAACTGGCAACAAACATGGTTAGAGTCATGGCACCAGCCATGAGCAAGGAAGCCAGACAAGAGCATGAGACACTGAGTTCAAGCCCAAGTATTTGGGGAAAACAAAGTTCCATTGTATTACCACATTTATTTTGGCTCTTATTTATTTGCCTCCCATAGTTACACACAGTATTCCCAGTTTCATGGCTTCATCTTATAGAGCATAGTTTGGTGCTTAATTTTTTTGTAATGAATTAAATCTTCAGAGTAAAAATACAATTAAGAGAAAAATTGCTTCTGTTACAATAACAGACAGGGTATACAATGTTGAATGTCACTGAAGGTGAAGAAAATGTGATAAAAATTATAAATCACTGAGTATTTTTAATTGGTTTTCATTGTTTGCATCAGAATAATATTTTACATTTAAGTGATGCCTAATTTGCACAAAATGCTTTTTTAAAATTATAAGAACAAGCCAGGTGCCAGTGGTTTACACCTATAATCCTAGCTACTGAGAAGGCTGAGATCTGAAGATCATGGTTCAAACCCAGCCGGGGCAAAAAAGTACACGAGACTCTGATCTCCAATAAATTAACGAAAAAGCCAGAAGTGGAGCTCTGTGGCTCAAGTGATAGAGCACTAGGCTTGAGTAAAAGAAGCTCAGGGACAGCACCCAGGCTCTGAGTTCAAGCCATAGCACCATCAAAAAATAAAACAGCAACAACAACAACAAAAAAAGTTATAAGAACTGATGTTTTGTTTTGATTGACTTCTAAAGTTACAAGGCAAATATGATTCTAATTTTCTGTTTTATTGGATTTTATCTCAATTATGTAATATGCATTTATTTAGCAAGATATAAAAGTTTGTTACAGTAATTTAAGTTACTGGAAATTATCCCAAGGAACTAGATGAGAGATTTAGTAAAATATTCTATTCAGTGATATTCATTATAGAAATGATGAAAATGGAATTAAGACTGTTGAATAAAATGATGCTTTTTTCATATGTGAAATGTTAGTGAGCCAGGAAAATACATTTTGAAATGAATTGGGAATAGGTAGGTAGATATACAGATTTATTTTTATTTATGTTTGTATCTGCTGTATTATAATGTTGCCTGTATTGTTTAGATTTTTTTCAAAATGTGCCAAAATGTTTATAAATGCTTGTCCTGTGTAAAAAGATCACATGTGAGTTTTTGATGCCTTCTGTTCTCCAAATTTTCTTAACTGAAATAAATGGCTTTTAAAAAATCTTGGTAACAATAGCATACTTTGAAAAATTAAAGTAGTAGCAACTTGGCAAAGACACTATTGCTTATCTCTCCACTACTAACTTGCTGCTTCCTAACAAGGCAACAGGTCTGCTTGCTATTGGGCATAATTCTTTTTTTGTTTGTTTGTTTTTGGCTGCTACTTTGTTGCATTCTTGAAGTGAACCAGTCTTTAGAAGAATGCTATTCAGGATGGGTGGAGATAGCACAAGTGGGTGTGGAGATAAACTCTGCCCTGAAACACTGTCCTGACTATATCAGAGCATCTGCATTGCACTGCACTTACCAGCGCTATTAGACGCCGTGAGATAGGAAAGGTCATTTCATTTAAGTGTGTTAGGTTTTCTAAAAGAAGCTAAAAGAATCCTAATTCACTCATTACTATTATAGGGAATCAGTAAAACAGGAAATTGAAAGGGAAATCATCAAATAGTATCATAACCCAAATACCAGCAATGTCTTTTCTCAATTTTTTTCTATTGTGTGAATTTTTTATTTATGCTGTGGAGCTGGTATTTTTCTTTATGTTATATATGTGTATTTCCATGCTGTTTAGTCACTTAATTTTAATGACTATAATATTTCATTTATCCCAGCCAAACATTTCTAGTTGTTGGACCATTTTGTTGCTTCCAGATTTTCAGTTATATGTAGCATTACAGTTGACAACTTCCTGAAAATTCTGCGGTATTTTTAAATCTTAATGCTAAATACTCAGAGTAGAATTGCTAGGCCTTGCTGTTTCTAAGCATTTTCCTCTGGAGCATTTCCTAAATCATTTCTTCACTATCTGAACCAATTTATAGTAACACCAATGATATATATGAGTACATATTGCACTTCATTCTCTCCTCAGTGTGTGTGTGTGTGTGTGTGAGTGAGAGTGAGAGAGAGGTCAGTCCTGGGGCTTGAACTCATGGCCTGAGAACTGTCTCTGAGCTTCTTTGTTCAAAGCTAGCACTCCGCTTTGAGCCACAGCTCCATTTCCAGCTTTTCTGGTAGTTAATTGAAGATAAGTGTCTCACAGGTTTTCCTGCCCAATCTGACTTTGAACTTTAACTCTTAGATCTCAGCCTTCTCGGTAGATAGGATTATAGGTGTGAGCAACTGGTGTCATTCTTTAAGTTGTTGATTCAGCCAGGCACCGGTGCTCACGTCTATAATCCTAGGTACTCAGAAGGCTACAATCAGAGATCCACTGTTCAAAGACAGCCCAAGTGGAAAAGTCTGTGAGATTCCCTCTCCAAAATAACCAGAAAAGTCTAAGTTGGGGATGTGGTTCAAGTAGTAGAGTGCCAACTGAGCAAGCAAGAAGACATTTTAGTATAAACTACAGTGTTGGCCAAAAACAAAAGATTGCTAATTTGATAAATGAAGTTTCCCATGTTCCTTTATTGAGGTTGAACTTTCTTCATATAATGCTATGGGATTGCTGACATTAATACTTAGTATTTATTATATGAAAAGGTTCCAATGAACTCTTTCATATAGCCAACACTGGTGACTCATGCCTATAATCCAAGCTACTCAGCAACCTGAGATCTGAGGATCAAGGTTCAAAGCTAACACAGGCAGAAAAGTCTATGAGACTCTTATCCCCAACTAAATCACAGAAAAATCTGGAAGTGGCACTGTGACTCAAGTGGTAGAGTGCTAGCCATGAGCAAGAACAGCTCAGGGACAGCACCTAGGCTCTGAGTTCAAGCCTTACGACCTACAAAAACAAAAAAACCTTTATGTATATTTTTATTTCATTTTTTCTAACTTGAGTTTATTATTGTGATTCTCATTCATGAAGAATCACTGAGTCAAAATGACTGAAGAACTTCCCCAAGTTAATCGATTCACCAGGTAAGTAGTTGAAGATGGATGTCAGCTAGGATTTGGTTGTGCTGCACATTACTGAGACCCTGACTCCAGTACTGTCTGCTGTGGTAGCTTAAGAGTGTCCAGACATATCCCTTTAGGCTCCACTGCTCCTCCATCCATAGGGCCCCTTCTGTTCTCACAGTGACAATGCTATTAGGCCCAGAGTACTTCATTTACCTTTTATTCACACGAGGAAAAAGTTAAAACCCTCTATGAGACTTACAGATTAATGTTTCAAGCCTAGAGGGTCACCTGACATTATGAACAATGGTAAATACAATCATGATATTCAATATACATAGATGTTTTCATCTATGTACTTCCATAGTACATAGTAAGAAGCCCAAGAAAAATAGGATAGATGGAAAAAGAGGAAGCATCAGGAAAAGGGGTGACTGATTGAATTGCATTGCAAAGTGGACATGTTAAATAGAAAAGAAAATACAATAAAGGAGGCTAGAAATGGATGTATTCATTTTGATTCTCATTAATAGAGAAGAATGGGAGCTTATAGTTGGAGTGGGTATGGAGAGGGTCACCTACCTAATGTCACATGAATGAGAAGGAAGAGAATAACTGTTGAAAACTCTTATGAGTATGGAGAAGGCCACCTACCTAATGTCACATAAATGAGAAGGAAGGGAATAACTGTTGAAAACTAATGAAGTAAAAGGAAAGAGAAACATCTCAGCCACCATTCAGGTCAACAACAGTGACAACATCCATCTCAAATTTGGAGTAAGTTCTTAGGTAGATTGTTGGTTCTAATCTGTATGGTTGTCTTTTTTTTGTTGTTGTTGGTCATGGGCCTTGAACTCTGGGCCTGGATGCTGTCCCTGAGCTCTTCAAGCTCAAGGCTAGTGCTCTACCACTTGAGCCACAGTGTCACTTTAGGTTTTCTGGTGGTTTATTGGAGATAAGTCTTATGATCTTTCCCGCCTGGGCTGGCTTTGAACCATGATCCTCAGATCTCAGCCTCCTGAGTAGCTAGGATTGCAGGCATGAGCCACTGACACTTGGCTTATGATTGTCTTCTTTAGCCATTATATTCCACTTTTTGAAAACTGCTCTAGAGTTACATTTCACTGTGAGAAG